ACATCTAACGGATCCTTAAAACACGCCTTATTTTCTATAACGAGTCTTTGGAATAAATAAATATTAAATTAAGTGCAACTACCGTGTTCCTTGTACTCGTATGAAACACAATAATAGGCATAAATAGTTGTTGTTTTCTCAGTGCAAAGCTTCACAATGGGCTATCTGCACTTTGCCAACCGCGGTAATCGAGCTCCTTATTTTAGCGCTGTAAGTCCATACATTTACCACTGACCCACCGGAGGACTAGAAATAAAGATACGTCAGTTTACTTTTTGTATATGATTCTGTTTTATATGTAGAGTCAGCTAAGTTGTTCTTTGAGACTCTGTATCGAGATAGTTTGCACAAAATATTCAATACATATGTTCTTAGTTTTGTATTGAATTCCAATATAGTGTTTTTTTTTCTAGATACAAACTTTGACGAGAGTATTAAATTAAAAAGGGTGGTTATTGTTAATGTGATCCATACCTGTTTCTACCTAACGTTTAATAGTCGCAAGTTTATATGGCATTTCAGTATACAGAGTCATCCAACACTGAACCTTTAAATAACAAAGTAAAAAAAGTTTTTCTGAAGTTTTTATTTATATCAGATTTAGCGGTTAATGTACTGTTATTTTATTTTGCGGAGTATGAAAGCAAGCAAAAACTTGAGAATTGGAATTTTCTAACCTGAACGGAATCTTCTATTCGCGAGGCTAGACGGTCAGCGATCTCTATAATTCGAGTATAGTCGTCCCTAATTTTTAACTATATAGATCAAATGCTTTTCATATTCTGTAGATCAGAGTGATAACATCGCGGCCGTCAACTAGTTGATATTAAATATTTCTGTTCGTAAGCGTTTTAGCCGGGTGTGGTCAAACAGTGTTTCATGTTGCGAGTGTAAGGATCCGAGATTCGAGACATGATGTTGCCGAACAAGATCCACACTTTCAGTTGTGTACATGTTATAAAAGTGACAGCCAATCTAGTTTTTTAGTTCAAAAAGCTGGATAAGGCTTTGTGTGACGACAAACATAATGAGTTTAAAAAACCAATGATGCTATAACTGATAAAAAATATTGTATTTCAATTTATATAGCAATGTTAACAGTGACTGGAATGATGTGTGTGCGCTGTGTTGTTTAGTATAACTATTGGATCCATTTGCACATTTTTAATTTCTTAGTGTGTATTTTATTTATAAAATTGAATTGTTACAAGAAGAAATGATTACGTTCTTTGCAAACCTTTAAAAACGAATATCGAGGGTGGGGATCCTGAGTTGTATTTTAATATACAAAGAGTTAATTATTTATAGAAATTTTTTTAGTAAGACAAGGAAAAAGCGCAATTAATCACACTAACTTGTCTGCAACACGTTTTAAACTCGGCTAAGGTTAGTTTTGGTTATCAGAGCAACATGTCGATCAAACCTCCTAAAGTATTGAATAAGCATCTGGTGAAAAAGTGCCACAGTTATTTTGGAAGTCATGACCCATGAAATCAGAGCGTTGAGTGTCCTATTAATCATAAAAGTGGGTCAAAAAGAGACACTAGATCCGATATCGCATCAGTTTTCTTCACTTTTAAAGAAATAGTGTCCTCCGATGGTTCACCAGTAAGATTTATGTCTTATAAAGCTAAATTCGGGGTTTGATTCCCTTCGGTGGACACAGCGCAGGTAACCCATTGTGTAACTTTGCACTTAAAAACAAATAAGTGGTGTAATAGAAATTTAAATCAGTTTATTAGATCTTTTCAGACGATTTCAAATAATTTGGTAGTTGATTGTATTCGATGAACTATTTAGACTTCCCAAGGTACTGAAGCTTTACTTATGAGTAAGAACCAGATTCAGAGAAGGTAAAGTAATTAATCAGTGTGAAAGAGAGTGGGTCTATCCCACCCACACCGAATTCAGTCATATAAAGCTACTTTTAGTCTATGTGAAACGCGCAGGCACAAGACAAGGTCGCCCAGTCGCAACCTCAATCAACCTACTCGACACAAAGAATTAGAACAAGAACAGTCAGGGGCTTGGCTAGGCTAGATTCCGCGTAAGAATTACAGTATTCATGCTATATACGTTATTTGGTATTTCTAGCAATGCCACACCCATATGAAGGTCATACTTGTTAAAAACATCAGATATCACGAGATTCTCTTCGTCATGACAGGAATACTATCATGATATTTTTCCATTTATGAACGTTATATTTTAAGATCTGTGCAAGAACTCAGCTATCAGTATATCAGAGCTATCGTGATATCTGACGTAATAAAACTGAACCGAGTTCTTGCTGTCGTGTTATTAATTAACTGTTTTAGATAATAAAAAGGACATAATTCAAACTTACCTACAAACTTATCACACGTTTATTGTACTTTATATAAGAAATTTTCCTAGTAAAGGAAAATTACTTCTAGTGTGGAACAAACAAGTATTCCTTGTAGTATTTTATAAAATGAGTTTGATTCCGTGTGAAATACTGCAGTGAAACTGCCGCTAGGGGGTTATTACTTGAACTGTGTTCGTAATGAGTTGAACACGATATTTCTGAATTGGTAGGCTCTTTTTCCTAAATATTCTGAGTTAGGCTTACAGCAGAAATGTTATGTTACCTTTAGATAATCTAACACCAACGATAAAGAATCCCATTCAGATTCTCGTAACACTAACTCCCACTTCGTCCTCAATATATATAATTATTCAAAATATAAAACAAATTAAGATAAAAAGGGGAAAAATTCATTCAGTATCATTTCTTAAATGCAAATCCAAGATGTGCATGAAATTTAGTAATATAAAGACTATATTGACATATAAGAAAAAACAACAACTGTAGATTAATGCCTTCAATTTTGGTGCAGTTTTCTGTAATTTATATTTTTCTTACCAATGTGTCTGGGGAGAAGTGCATTAATTCGTGGTTTGGACCTGTTTACAAGGGGAATATCAAAGTTTAAAAATTACCTTGTACACAATTGATTATAATATGTGCCCCCAGTGGCACAGCGGTATGTCTGCGGGCTTACAACGCTAGAATCCGGGTTTCAATACCCGTGGTGGGTAGAGCACAGATAGTCCATTGTGTAGCTTTGTGTTTAATTACAAACAAACAAACAATTATAATATGTGCAACTTATTAACAATTATTTTCTGTGAGAGGAGTTCCCCCGGATGACCAGTCTACAAACTTTGACAGTGGTAGTGGCAATACTGCATTGTGGGATATCTTAGAGGTGATATTTTTTTCTTCCCGTGATTGTGTTGATCAGTCTTTGATCTGCGTTGTAGATAGGTACCTTTGAAATTTGTGTTTCCGGGACTTATCGCTCATAGCGCTACGGTACACATGTGCAAATCGTTTATATAAAGCACGACTAAAACGAATTAAAACCTGATGAAACGCTGTTAACACGTATAACATTTGTTCAACAGACAAGTAATCCAAGAAACATTCACATTCTTTATCTACCTTATTTAGACGAACATGATTTAGAAATTGACGTGAATATTACTAACAAACAAGGCTACATCAGACAAAACTGTCACCTCTGTTGGGCTTTTGGTCGTCTCTTTGTTTCGAAATGTGATTTGTGTCCAACAAGGATATTGGTGGTGCGCACATAATCTAAACATTTATGAATGCCTAAACACGTTTTCGCGAAAAAGGTCTATATAGACAGTTAGGTTAAAGTGAAAGGTAACTACTTTTCATGTATAATGCAATAGAATTCTCTATTATAATTTGTTTAACTTATTTTCACTGTTCTTCAGTTCAGCCCCCAGTGGCTCAGCGGTAAGTCTGAAGACTTATAACGCTACAGATGGGGTTTCGATACCCGTAGTAGGCACAGCACATATACCTCATTGTGTAGCTTTGTGCTTGATAGCAAACATAAAAATATTCTGTCCATCTATTATTTTTCATGCTCTTCAATATCGGAACACACACCATATGTTGCTGTGAACGTAGACAAGCACGCGTGTGTTGTCTGTTTCATTTTCAACGGAAATATTGTTGTTCTGTTTCGTTATTTTCAGTGGAACTAGTGTTTCTGTTTCGTTATTTTCAGTGGAACTAGTGTTTCTGTTTCGTTACTTGCAGTGGAAATGGTATTTCTGTTTCGTTATTTTCAGTGGAACTAGTGTTTCTGTTTCGTTACTTGCAGTGGAACTAGTGTTTCTGTTTCGTTACTTGCAGTGGAACTAGTGTTTCTGTTTCGTTACTTGCAGTGGAACTAGTGTTTCTGTTTCGTTATTTTCAGTGGAACTAGTGTTTCTGTTTCGTTACTTGCAGTGGAACTAGTGTTTCTGTTTCGTTATTTTCAATGGAAATGGTATTTCTGTTTCGTTATTTTCAGTGGAACTAGTGTTTCTGTTTCGTTACTTGCAGTGGAACTAGTGTTTCTGTTTCGTTATTTTCAATGGAAATGGTATTTCTGTTTCGTTATTTTCAGTGGAACTAGTGTTTCTGTTTCGTTACTTGCAGTGGAATAGTGTTTCAATTAAAATTAGCTCCTTTTTTTTTAGGAGTGGGGGGGGGGGGCTTGAGAGATAGAATGAACAAAATGGGTGTCTCCCTAAAATTAATTTACTACAACTGCATACCATTTAAGTTCACACTGTGTTTTGAACATTTATATTTACGTAGAGCGAGAGACAGTAATAAAATATAACAACAAGTAACAGTAAGTCATATTTTGGGTTTATATTTTATTTCTCTATTTGTATATACAATGTATGTACTATTGCTTACATCTCTATTTTGGTTTATATTTTCAACCAAGAGCTTGTTTTGTTTTTTAAAATATATATATTTAGAATTTTTCATAAAACTGGAATGCGAACAGAATAATTATTTGTATAAAACATAAGACATTTAAATATCAAAAACAAATCATGTCGATTTCCTGAATATGATTTGTTTCTTTCGTTGAATTGAATCCATCATATAAAATAAGAAAATGAAGGAGGGAGGTTAAATTTACTTATTTGTTTATCGTTTAGTGGTGTACAGGACGCGGAGCAGGACCAGGAGCAGTTCCTGCTGGTATGCCGTCCGGACCAACATCACCTTCCGCCTTGAAGCCCTCTTTGCCGGCGGTGTACCTAACAATTCTTTGACGGCCTTCTTTGTCTAGGTAGCCGTAGGCTCCTTTCACTGTGCCATCTGGAAGACGGGTTTCCTTGCGGAAACTCTGTCCTAATGAACTTTTGCCTGTATCATAGACAAAGTCGTAGTCGCCCCGGAGATTGGCGCCGATGTTAACGCTATGAACAAGGGCGGGCGGGTGGTAGTTCTGTGGTCTGGCAGGTTCCCGAGGCTGTTGGTATTGCTGTTCTTGGAGTAAATACTGTTGTTGCTGCGGGGCCTGGAAGCTTTGTGGCTGGTACTGTTGCTGAGGCACGTATTGTTGTCTTATTTGGGGCTGCTGTTGGGAAGAGAATTTTCCAGCATAAATGTTTTGCTCTTCCAGAAGATGGCGCTGTTCTTGTTTCTTGTGCTGCAGAAGTTGAAGCTGGTGTATCTTTAGTGCTTCCTGGGGGTTCACAGGGGCACCGTTGTAGGCTTGTTGACCCTGGACTACCGTTATCGCCAGACAGACAGAAGCAAGGAAAATCTGTATAAAATAAAGATACAAATCAGTAAAGGGCATATTATTCGACCGTTAGTTTCCTATAGTATTGATAAGCACTAGAATATATTTATTCAATAATATAATCTGTACCGCCGTTATTTTTTTCTCTTTCACGATTTCCAATTTTTTTATTATTTCTAATAGCACTTATTCAAGTTTACGTAAAATTTTACAATATACTAAATACTCATTATATTTTGAAGCCGAAACCGAACATAATTTCGTGAGTGAGAAAACGTTTCATAAGTGTTATTTGTTTATCGTTCTTGTTTTAGTGCTTGTTTGTTTGGAAGTAAGCACAGTGCTACATAATGGGCTATCTGTGCTCTGCCCACCACGGGTATCGAAACCCGGTTTCTAGCATTTAAGTCTGCAGACATACTGCTGTGCTACTGGGGGGGGGGCTCGTTTTAGTGTAAGGCTACACAACTGACTATTTGCGATCTGCCCATCGCGTGAAATCGAACCCCGAATTTTAGCGTTGTAAATCGGTAAAGTTACCACTTAACTACTTACTCATGAGGAGGACTTTCTCGTTCTCTCTGCAAGTTATTTTATATGATTCTAGTAACAAAACTGCTTTAATAATTTCAACGTTGAGATTAATAACTCTATGTGTTTGCTGTTTGAAATTTCAACAATGAGTAAAATTATTCAAAGAGGCAAGATTTGTTTGTTTGAAGTTAAGCACAAAGCTACACAATGTGCTATCTGTGCTCTGCTCACCACGGGTATCAAAACCCGGTTTCTAGCGTTGTAAGTCCGCAGACATACCGCTGTGCCACTAGGGGGCAAAGTAAGATTTATGCATTTTAATACTTTTCTTCCATGATTTGACCCCCTGGTGCTCTGCGGTAAGTATAAGGGCTTAAAACGCTAAAAATCGGGTTTCGGTACCTGCGACGGGCACAACACAGATAACAGAGAAAACAAAACCATAATACGTCATTTAAATAATGTTTTATAGAATCAAGCAATATTTTACGCATTGTTTTAAACAGGGTAAATAAACTTGAAGATTTGAAAAAAACAATAGCGAAAAAAAAAAAATTCGACACTTACCCAACGCTCCATATTCAAATAAATTCTCTTTCTTAGTGTTGGACTTGTCTAAGGCGAGAGTTGTCAGCTCCGGACTGCAAATTACTTTAATTTTCTTATCCTTTTATATAATAAGCTTCATGGTCACCGAATCGTCACTACTTTACTTCAAGACGTCAGAGCTAAGGTTATGAAGGTCACCTATTTGTCGTTATTGAAAATCGTCTGGTGGACACCAAGTTCCAGTTTACCAACGGCCAATCATGTCGCTTCGTTTATTTGTTACCTTCTTTTTTCTTTGAAGTAGCCCAGTTCTGATCTTCACTAACTAACAGTGCTATTGGCCGCTAACGTCAAGGGCAACTACAAAATAATAATAAAGAAACTCCCCAGGTCCTTTTAACTTCGATCTTTAAAGGGCTCAAGAAAGAAAGTTCACCGAATTTTGCTTAAAGAGCATTTTATTGAAGTTATTGTTCACAAAAAAAAAAACAGTTTATCGTTACAGTTAAAATTTCAAGTCTTTCCATCTTCCAGGTTTGCGTTTTATTTTCCAGAGTCATGTAGCTTATTCTCTTAATATTCTTAAGTTTAATTCTAAAGTGTAAAGACCAGTCGTTCAGGTTGGCATACGTTTATTCGATGTAGTCTTACAGAACAAGGTAATAGTCTTTCAGTTTTCTATAATTTAACGTTTCATCTTCCAGATTTACTTAGTTAAATATTCGTGTTTTATTCGGTACTTTTTAGGTAATCATTGTTACAGCTTTACACAAGTTCATGTCTAATTTTTCAAGTACTTGTCCTATTTTTAGGATTTTGTAGTTTTGAAAAATATTTTACCTCTGCTGTAATTGAAAGTTTACGAGATTTTGAAACATGTTTACCTTAAGTTAACATATCTTTTTGACTCTTTGAAAACTTAATCACTTATACATCACCAGATTCAGAATATTTCATTAAGAAGCAACTTATAGATGATATTCATTCGTTAATTTTAATTTAGCAAAGTGACAAAGAAGATGGTATCAATGCACGTAGGATAAGGGATTCTAAACTTAGTTATTATTCACCCAATGCTGGCCACACTTGAAGTTAAACGAACTATCCTAGGGAATGATTAAACCATACTTCTTAAACAGGGTTAGCGTATCGGAAAGAGTTACTAGTGTCTCTGGTTCGAGACTTGTTATTACAAAACGCGCTTTGTACTTTCAGCGTTATAAGAGTGTGCCTGTGCCGTTGGTAAAGTCGTAGTTGCCTTGGAATTGGCGCCGATGTTAATACTAAGAACAAAGAGATAATATTTATGCATTTTAATAATTTACAAGCAAAATACGACCCCCTAATACTCTGGGGTAATAGTAGCTGTTAATTGTTTGCCGCCCCCCGGTGCTACAGCGGTAAGTTTAAGAATTTACAATGCTAAAATCTGGGGTTCGAATCCACTCGGTGGGCACAGCAGCTAGCCCGGTGTGGCTTTGCTATAGAAAAAAATAAACACACACCCCTCCGTTACGCAGTTCAGAATTACGGATGGCTGGCTATACACTAACCGCAGGGGTCCTTGACCTGGACATTTATAATGTTGTATGCATAGTGTCGCCTGGGTAACAAATAAATATTACTACATGCAATTTAGAATTAAATTTAAAACTTTTCGAATACCAATGCAATTAAAATTACAAAACTGTTTAGAAATATAACAACACTAATATTAAAACAAAAAGCATTATTATTTGTAACATACTGTACATATTTTACTTTGATATTCAAATTTTGAATAAAAGAATGTTTAAAACTAACAGCACTATTACTAAAACGAGTAAAAAATCGTTATTACATGTCAGTCATTAGAAACCTTTTTTTTATATTTGTTATTCAAGTTTTTACTAAAACATTGTTCCAATTAATAAGAAACTCCGATAACCATACAGTAGACATAATAATTATCAATCACAACAAAACGGTACCTTATTTTAAGTCCATATACATTATTTTCAATCTGCTGCCATACAACTATGTTCTATTTAATATTTGGATGTTTTAATCTATAAGAACAACATGGTACATTTAATCAGTTTCCACCATTTTGTGCAAGATCTGTCGCTTTAGTATTTTTGTCTTTTCTATTCAATAACAACGTTCAATCACATACAACCCAAACTACCATACCAATAGTATTAGGTCTTCAAGAAATTAATGTCGCTTTTTTTTAGATGAAAAACCCGAACAATTCATATATATCAAAACAAAACATTTATTAAATG